TTCAATACACTTTTTAAAAACTTTCAAAAATATTTTATAATCTTTTTATAGTTTTTCAATGTACTTTTTCTTATTTTTTTCTAATATTAACAAGTGTCTATGGGAACACTTGTTAGCATTTGTCAATAAGTAAATGTCAAAATAATTATGAGACATAAATGTTATTTTTTTATTAAAAGTGATGGTCCGCGAAATATCTTTTTTTTATTAAAAAATGATGGCTATAAGTGATAATTTATTAGTCGTGTAGAATTATTTTCAAATCAAATGAGAATACCATTTTAAATTTTCTTCTTACCTTTTTTGTTTCAGCCAAATACTTTTATTTTGTAAGAAATTTAATTTTATTATATATAAATATTTTATTGTAATTTTTAAATTAAAAATAATTTCTTAAAAATCATATTTACATTATTTTATGTCATTACAAAATGTAATTTTTTTAATATCAACTTATTCGATGGTCTCTTTCTAAAAGGTGTATTTTTTAAACATAATAGAAATAAAAACTCTATATTGAAAGAACTTAAGCATATTGCTTTTGCTTTTGTTCTTGTTTATTAATATTAAATTTTTAATTAATCTTATTTATTATTTAAAAAATAAATTGGCAAATAATTTTATATATTTGTATATATAATTTTGTTTCGATTGCTTAGATTATTTGATGTCTCTACCTAAGTCCACTCAAATTTATACCAATTTTTGAATTTTACATATATCTTCACTGAATTAAAAATTATGTTGCCCAATCTTTAACAAATTCCAGACTTGACTCGAGTTGTTTGGATTGAACTCGCCTAAGTTTACAACTCTAACAAGAGAGTTGAAAGCTACATGATTGAAGTTGTAATAAATTAAAAATTAATACATAAATTGTGAAACTTAAATTGTAGGTTTCAATATTTTTTTGTTTTCATAATTTATATAAAAAAAAAATCTAACTATTTATATTATTTTATAAAAAATATTTTATTAATTTTTTTATATCCCGTGCATAGCACCAAGTTTTAACTAATATACAAAAATGGCACTTCAGTCAGTGAGTAAATTTTTATATTAAATATTTTATATATTATTTCCATGTATGGATAAAAGTAGAGTCCCATTACATCAATATTAAATACAGATTTAGCTACCAATTAACTAGTTACATTAGGTATGCACCTTCAGCATAGAATTTCGGGTGCGGGGCCCCCGTGCGTGATGCACACGACAGTCTACCGTATATAATGTATTTTGTATACATTTTAGGGTTAGAAAGTAAAACAGAGGTTGCTATAGTTTTCAGTGAGTGAAAATGCGAGGAAGAGCCGCTACAAGAAAATACACTTTTGGTGACTAAATTTTTAGTCGCCAAATGTCAAATTTTCACTTTCTCCGATTAAATATTTTAGTCGCCGGTTTTGTTGCCAATACGTGGTCGCGCATACCTTTGGCGACTAAAAAACTGTTAGTCGCCAATAGACAGGTCTTCAGCAACTAAATAATTTGTCGCCAATAGTCAATTCCATTTTTGGAAATTATACCTTAATTTTTTTTTTATTTATACATTTCCGGACTAAACCTTTCGTCACCAATAGCCCAGCTTTCGGCGACCACTGACTTTAGTCTCTGAAAGCATTTTTAGAATTTTTTTTTTTTTGCCTCCGCTGCTACCAAGTTTCGAACCTATGACCACCAACTTCCCAACATTCTCAACCTTTACCAACACTCTCTCCCCAAATGCTTTTAGTCACCAAAAACCGTGCCTTTTAGCTACTAAAATTTTTGTAGTCGCTAAAACTCCTATATTCGGCGACTAAACTGACTTTTAGTCGCTAAAACCCCTATATTCAGCGACTAAACTCCTTTAGTCGGCAAAAGTCATCAATTTTGGCGACTAAATCCATTTTAATCGCCATTTGTGCAACTTTCAGCGACGAAAATCATTTTTTTAGACGCCATTGGTGCTTTTTGTTGTAGTGAGCGTCTATAATTACATTATCAATATAGTGAAACAGTGTGACTCTCGAAAAAGTAGGCACGATGCCGAACTTTGTAGTGTCTTATCATTTTTTCTTTTTCTTTTTTTTGTGATTTATAATTTTCAAAATCCATAAAAATAAATAGATTTTAGAAAAATTGACCAGTAAATTCCGTTTTGTAGATTTGTAATCTATAAGGTCCTAAATATTTTTTTAGTGACTGAGTGGTCCCTTTAATTATTTGTTGACTGTTTTGCCATTGTTAGTACAGTTGGGAGACAAGTAGCGTGGTTATGTATAGGGAAGGTGGTAGAGTATTTGTGTGTCACGTTGTTCGAAAAGTACATTAGTAGCTTTTTATAGTTTGGTTGTTTTTAACACGCAGAGTATGGGACGTAAATTCCTTATTAATTGTTTTTTGGCACATGACGTGAAGACACGCAGTAATTCAATCAAATTGGATCTGTCACGTTGGAGTATCACATGTCACGTTTAAGAAGATTACACTAAGGAATTTTTAATTTTTTTAGAGTATCATAACATACCTGTCACGTTGTCACATCTAAAAAAAGTACACTAATGAGTTTATTTTTTTGGAATGTCCCATCATACATATTACATTGTCACATTTGGAAAAAGTACACTAAAGATGAGTAAAAAATTTGGAGTATCACATCATACCTTTCACGTTGTCATATTTGGAAAAAATACACTAAGGAGTTTTTAATTTTTTTGGAGTGTCCCATCGTTGGAGTGTCACATTAATACCTGTCACATTGGAGTATCACACCATACCTATCACACATTTCAAAAAAATAAAAAAACAAACAAACTTCCCCAATTAAGTAATGAGGGTATATCTGTCTAACCAATATTCATCCACGTTTAAAAAGGGATTTACTAGTCACATACTACACTTAATAAAGACTCATTAATCAACTATTTAAAATGTGGAACCAAGTGGTTGTTTGGCATATGCTAAAATAGTGCATACTATTTTAACACATTATCTTATTTAGGTAACAATCATCTTATTTAAGTCGCATCACTTCTCTACTATATCACTTCAAACTCAACTCATATTTCACATTTTTTCATAAAAAGTCAAAAAGTATACTAAGCTAGCACTTCCCAAACAACCCCCAAATGGTACAGAAGTTCCCAAAATAGGACTTTTCAATAAATTTCCCTAGATTTTAATAACCAACGTAAGGGAAATAGGAATCCATTATGTGCACATTTTAATAATTGTATAGGAGTATGATTTAGGATTCATTTCATTTGCTTACAAATAACGAAATTGAGGCTACTTAAAGTTGTGTTTGGTTTATGAATTTGGATAAAAATTTGAAAAAGAAAAATGAAAAAAATGTGTAAAATTAGGTAAAATATAAATACAATATACTTATATTTTACCTATCTTTTTTATTTTTCTTTCCAAATCTCTCAATAAATCTTTCAACCAAACACCGTCTAAGGGAAGTAGGTGTGTGAGATTAAAGGGTATGTAGAGATGTATGGGAGAAGGAAAAGTATTAGGAGTGAGCGGGGTGCGGGTTTGCTTCTGGGCTTAATTACTCTTGAACATGATTGCTTTCGGACTCGTGTTTTTAGTGTCAGGTTTTTGGTCTCAAGATTGTTACCTCTATGGATTATAGTGAATTTGAGTCTCGGCTATAGATGTAGATGGTTTGTAGAGATTTTCACTAATTTATAATTATTTTTTTAAAATTAATAAGATTTAAATTTGCATCTTAAAGATTCTTACCAATTTATAATCTTTTTTCTTCCGGTTAAAGTAGGAGCATATATTAAAATAAAATTAAAGGTACACAATTTTGGGGTCGCTTCTTCATTCAGTTGGTTTACAACAAAAGAATGAACATGTTGGAAAATTTGTAAACCATTAAGGCCATGTTTGATTCATAACACTAATAGTGAGGTATTAATAATCCTATCAAATTAGTGTGGTATTAACTATCCCACCCCTACCCCATTACTAATAATCCAACAAATTTGTTGGATTAATTATCCATTGGATTAACAATCCTAAACCAAAATGTCAAAACAAACATAGGATGATTGGGTCCACGGATTAATAATCTCAATCCCATACTTTAATCCTTCCAATCAAACATACCCAAGTACAATAACCATAATTAGCTATAAGATCCACGCATTTGTTGGCTTCCCAATAGATGTAGCTAACTGTTTGAACTCCCAACCTGTTCATTAGGTACCTGCAATAAAAAATGAAACAACAATAATTGAGACCTTTTTTTTTGGAGACTCCCATAACCTCCTTCGAATCTCAATCATTGATGATGTGGGTCTCACACATATATGAATGAGTCCCACACATGTATTAATAGTTGAGGTCCAAAAGGGGTCGTGGGTTTCCAACAAAAAGGCTTCCAAGCATATTTCATTGTTTCATCAACTGCGAATCTGTTTCTATATCAAGATTTGTGAATTTGTCATCCGAACCTATTCTCAACCCATCTCTAGGAGCCCAAAGTTCTATTTCTATGCTAGAAGCTGTTCCACTGCCAGTAAACTTGCAAAAGCCCCATGGCCCATGATCCAACAGCCAAGGGTGTCTGAAAATCCGCCCCATTTAATATTTTTCCTAATTCCTAAATAATTTAAGTGTTTGTTAAGAGTCCTAAATGAATAAATAAAAACTATTTTATTATTAGCAATCAACTTGTGTGGTGCTTGTGCATGTAATTTTTTTTTTTAAAAGAAGAAATAAAATTTTGATTTAAATAGTTCATATTTTTATTTATTTTAACATAAATTACGTATGACATAAACGACTCATATGTATATTATATTTATTAATTTTTTAAATAAATTATAAATATATTTCTTGAGATTTATTGAGCCAGGTCTATCTAATAACTAAGAAGTTTGAATGTAAGTAAAGATGAAACGTGACGTGGAGTCAACATAGATGAAGGAAGGGCCAAAGGCTCAATCAAGCAATGACCCATGAGGAGTCTACGGTGGTGATGTTATGTGAGATAAATAAAATTCAAGACGATCACGATGGTCAAACATATGCAAATTCAAAATGTGGGATACCGTACAATAAAATACACAAAGTGCATCCAAATATTGACTCATTTTTTGGGTCGAATGATAGCACATTTGACAGTAAGACCATTTTTCCAGGTAGGAGTATATTCCTCTATACTGAATTCCATGATTCCAACATTTTCCGGTGACATTATAAACTCACCCACGACAATCTCAAACCAGTTTCCTGCCAGATTTTCTTTTAAAATTGCTTGGCGTGATAGCCTTTTTACACGTGGCGGAATGATTGTAAGCGTCAACGTGTAGTTGGATATATGTTTTTTTTCGATGTCATCATTTGGATTTTCGTACACCTTTAAGACAAATACAATTTCGTACAGAGCTCCTGGTGAGAGATCAATTGTGTCGATCTTCCCTCTAACTTCTAACCAACATACATCTAGTAACTCTGCCACTTCAATGTCTTCACCACTGCATTCATGCCAAAAAAAAAAAAAAAATTGAAGTTTTCAAACTGTCAATATTTGTAAAACAAGTTTTCATTGGATTGAGATACCACATAAATACTTATTCTCATGTTTGGTTTGGTGAAAGGGAAAGGAAATTTCATTACAAATGAAATTACTATACACTAATTAAGCAGAATGATCATTCTCTTAAGCGGTTAAAGCATAGTCATTTTATATATACTTAAAATCAATACAACAAACCAAACACTATCTATCGAGTAAATATCCTATCTTTGAGAAATTTCACATTGATTGTGTGCCCAGCCAATAGTAAGAGGTTAAAAATAAATATATGACCCTAATAATAAGGAGATGTTGGACAAATTATAACTTTTCATTAGTTGAGCACGTGATGAATACGTGACCTTTCTGACTTACTAGATAATTTCTACTATCAATTGTTAAAAATTAGGAGAATTTTTTTTATGATCCCTGGTATTAAAATTTATAGGATAAAAGATATGCAATATTTTCATAATAATTAGTGTGATGCCTAGGTACATAACCCGTCTTGTTCTCCTGTAATTGTGTTTATCTTTCTGGTCTTGGGGATATCAGAAACCAATTTGAGGTCTCGTTGGCCGTTTAGGTCCATCGTCCTTGGAACCTTTCTCGGACTTGCATCTCTAATTTTGTTCCGGAGTTGAGTTTTTTCTTGTTTCGGAAGTATAGTTGGAGTCGGGGTGGTCATAGCCTTGTTGAGATTGAAAAACCTAGAAGAGTAGTAAAACCGCACATGCGGGGGTAGGAGCCACAAGTGCAGGAAGGGTGCTGCATGTGTAGAAGGGTGTGTTGCACATGCGATGAGGGGGTGTTTTCTGGGTATTCATTATTACTTTAATTGCACGAGCAGAGGGCATGTGCCGGAAGCATGCCGCATGTGCAGGAATGTGCTGTGTCGCAAATTTTCTTCTTTTCCTTCTCATTGGGTTGAGTGTATCTCATTTCTCTTATACCTCTCTCTCTCTCTCTCTCTCTCTAAAACCTATTTTTCCTTCCCCTTCTCTCTATAAACACCCAACAACCGCATTAAACTCTTAATTTCTTCAAACCTATTAAAGATTTGACCCAATCTCCTTCATTAATATTGGAGAGTTCATCAAAGGCTATCATTTGTGCGATGGAGATCAGATTTTAACATCATTAACTCTGGGGGTTTTCTCATCTTTTCTCTTTCAAAAATTGAGGTAGGGAGTTTTTTTGAATTATATATATGATTTTGACATGTTTTAGCTTTTCTTGATGAAATCCTTGAGTTTTGAGTTGGGGTTTTGAATGGGTTTTAAAAATATAAATTTCTAATTTCCCTCATGAAATTGGTTTAATTTATGTAGTGTATGACTATTAAAAGTCCATGGATAAGAATACCTCATGAGAATAAATTAAATTCTTTTTGAATGGAAACCTTAGATTTTGAAATTTGAGGAAAAGTTGAAATTGTTGAGAGAAAAACTCATGAGATCGTGAGGTTTTCTCGGAAAAGATAAGGAAAATTATATGTGATTACATTGTTGAAACATCCATTTAAGGGATAAAATTTTGTTGAGGAATTGCCATGGATATTATGGTGGAAATACTTGGAATCATGGAAAAGTTGAAAATTTGTATAATATATATAGGGATTGTGGATTAGGTCTTGTGTCCCATGGGTATGATTATTGATATTCTAATTGAAAGCATTGAGATGTTGAGGATTGTATTGTGTTAAGGTAACATGTTGAGGAACATGAAAATTGTAAAATTGCGTTTACATACATGCATTTGCATTTGCATAGTTTGGAAAATTGATTATTATGGTTATGTTTTAGAAATTTAATGATTATTGATAAAACAATTATAAATCTTGAAAATGTTTAGGGATAAATATGTTTGGTAAATCCGGATAAGATGTGTAGATTGGTATTGTTTAAGTTGACTTGAGTGTCTAGGGTGAAAAACCGAAAACACGCGCAACACGCGCGAAGAAGGTACCACGTGTTTTCCGATTGGTAGTACTTGATATGTCTACTTATAGACACTAGCTTAGGAATTACCTGAGTTGAATTTAACCCCCCGTTTGTACATTTTGAATTACTAAGATAATGACTTTTGATATGAACATTGGCATAAGGTTTTTCAAAAATATGGGTTTTGAAGCATGTATCACATGGCATTTATATTGTGTGATTGCTTAAACGTTTATATTTTGTTAAGAAATTCTTATTGAATTTTGTGCTCACCCTTAGTGGATTTGTGCAGAGAATGATGTAATGATTCCACCTAACTAAAAGCAATGAATATATTTTGAGAACATGAGGCTCTTTTATATTTTTATTTGTTGTAACTTTTAACAAGCCAAGGGCTTTAATTGTATAGGTTTTTGAATAACCATCTTTTGTATAACGGGCTTAAGTTTCGGAAGTTGTAGCATTTAGGGCATTTTCTTGTGTTAATTCTTTTGGTTTCATCGTCGCATATGTTATGAATTCACACTCTTTGAAGCTTGAACATGTATTGCATGTAAACCCCTCTTGTTAGTCTCTGATATGAATTGAATACAAGTATAGAGATTTGATCTTTTGGAATCGAAATTATTGTAATTGAATGGATTAATTGGATTTATCTTTATGTAAATTATTTGGCGGCATTACAATTAGGGTCCCTCAGACATTTTTTTAGAGAATTTTGATTTAGAAAAACTTCAAAACATAGAGAAATTCGTGATTTGTAAATTTTTTTGGTTTGCTCAATTTCTCTGATTTTCTTTGTGTTTTTAATTTTTTTTTGTATTTTAAAATTTCTCTGATTTACTTACAAATTTCTTTAATTTGCTCACAATTTTCAAAACCACCTCTGTAACAACTTGCTCTACGTCTTGCAAACACATGACGGGAAGTCTTTGTTTCACTTTCTAAGCAACTTTCAGAGGGAGAATATGAGAGGAAAATAATGTATATTACTCTTTCTGTCCCAAAATAATGCCCTTCTTGGGGAATTTAACTGTTTTTGGTAGTACAATTATTGTATTTTAAAAAAGTTGATTTTCCAAAAATACCCTTTGATAGTACATTTTTTTTGGAGAATATCAATGTCATAATTGTACTTTTTGTATTGTTTAATGAAAAATGGAATAAGGGACTAATATTATGAGACAGAGGAAATATAATATTTTGAGAGAAGATCTGGGAATATATTGAAATCTTTGGAGGGGAGAGAGAGAGATAGAGAGAGAGAGATAGAGAGAGAAGAGGAAATATAATGTACTTTTCTTGTAGTAGTTTTATAGATGGATCAGTGTGTTAGAGAGAGAGAGATAGAGAGAGAGAGAGAGAAGGTTCAAATTTTTCCGTGGAAGCGTGGCTGTGTGAGAAGATGTTTCAGATTTTTCAGTCACATGGCTTCCAAAACCGTCATTATAGGCACAGATCTGAGACAACGAAGCTCAAGAAATCGAGATAGTGATTAGGGTTTATATCGTTGGTGATCGGAATTGTACGTCGGCTGAATAAGGGTTTTGCGATGGAAAATCGAAGGGAGAGGAGGGATGGGTGGTAAAGCAGAGAGAGATTGGGTTGGCCCGGATGAAGCTCAAGAAATCGAGATAGTGATTAGGGTTTTTTCTCTCTCTCTCTCAGTCAACCTTTCATTCCAATTCTTGTCTTATTATATTCTTTCTTTCTAAAATTTTATTTATAATTGGTTCATTATTATTTTTTTTGTTATAAAAAATCTTTTGTCATAATGAAAATTAAAAGATGCAAAATAATTTTTGTCTAAAATCATTTCATATGAAAAATATTTACAAAATAAAATGTCCAACACGAAGTTCTTTTAAGTTATATATATTTTACCTGGGCTCCTTCTCTTTGGTCCATTTCCAATATTTAGGATTTTCACCCCAACATATATAAAATTCTCTTGGAAATAGAGCGAAGCAATTCTTGTTTGACTTCTTGTCCACAAAATACTTCTGCAATAAAATTAGTGACAGCATGCATGAATAACAATAATTAATGTTAATAAAATAAAATACCATAATTTTATTTATAACAAACGACAGCTCCATTTGCTGGACCATTTTTTTTTTTTAAGATTCTTAAAAAAAAACAATTTAGGGAATTGATCCACTTTTTAAACTACTTGAAAAATTAACTTGCTTTTTAAAATCTCGTTTTGAAAATGTAGTTTTAAATTGAAAATTACATTTTCAACTTAAAATCGCATATTGAAAATGCAATATATTTTAGTGAAGTCTATGTCATCATAAAATTATATTTTCAATTTAAAATTACATTTTCAAAATGCAATTTCAAAAAGTAAGTTAGTTTTTCAAATAATTTGAAAAGTATGTCAATTCTCCAAATTGTTTTTTTTTTTTTTAGAATATTTTTTTTTTAAAAAAAAAAACTGCCATTTGCTGCCCTTAGGACTTAGAAGATGGTATTGTCATTTTTTAATTTTGATGATATATAGAAAATGATTCATTCCCTTAATTTTGCCTTCCTAATTTCATTCATAATGATATGGAATTAGGAGAGCTAAAGATGTGGAACCCCTTAACATAGATCTTAACCACGTTATTAGGAGTAATTTGGGGTTTCAATTATGGGCAATGCTAGAGACCTCTAATTTAGAGGCTCTAATACACCTCTAATGAGGTGGAAAAGGCCAAAAAAAAAAAATCAAGACACAGCACTGATGTGGCAGTGGGTGGGACATCACTAGTGGTACCTCTAATTAGAGGTCCCAAGCATTTTTCTTCAATTATAGGAGGATGTAGCATCTCTCTATATGTTACAACTTTATAATTTAAAATAAAGATTTTCATTTGATCTACAAAATAAAATAGAGAGAATCAATATCTCATATCAAACATATAACATGAGATTGTATATCATGTAATATTCTATGTAGGTGCATCATATATTTTGAAATTTATAATTAAAAAAAATGTACAAATACAAAAATTGATCACATAAGGGTACACAACTTTTTTAACATAGACCTACCTTATATGTAAGAGAATTGTATTTAATTCTAGGATTAATTTTTATTTATTTAACGGAAGGGGTTGACAATCACCATGAAATATAGGGGTGTTTGGAAAGAGAGTTGGTCTAAAATAGCTCACTAAAAGATAAAATAGACTAAAATAATTAATAAGACAAAATATCACATCTAACTCAAAATCATTTCACCTCAACTACAAAAATAAAAATAATAATAACAATAACTAACTTCCAAATGCAACTATTTTAACCAGACTAAAATAGTCAAAAAGTCAAATAACCAATTAAAATAATCAACTTTTCAAACAAGACCATAAAGAGATTAACTTCTCTCATATGGTCTCATTTGACCCATTGGACGATCACGAGTCTGATTATGATGATTTGAGTTATTTATGTTATAAGTCCCTTTTTTTTTTTTCCAATAGATAAGAGAATAATTACATTACGAAAAATATTTACATGATCAAACAGATCACTAAAACATAATGGTTAGAAAGTTAGCAAAGTCCAACAACCAAATCACCAAACCCACCATGCCAAGCCAACGTCACTAATAATCACATAAATCCCCAACCGCCATAATGGGGAGAAATAAACCGACCACCACAAAGGGTATCAAATTCCTCTCTATATGAATTAAACTTAAGATTTCACACCATAAAAGGTGTTATACAACCACTAAGCCAAATGTTCTGATTCATAGGTTATGTTTATAGATTATTCATATAAAAAAAAAAAAAACTAGATTAATTTTTATAATTCTAGTAATGTGAATTCGTCATATTTGAATAATAAAAAAAAAACATATTATTCATTTTTTATGATAAATATAATGAAATTATGTGGCCTGTATAATCCAATGAATTAAAATATATACAACTCAAATAATTGAAGTATGATCTATACTGAGCCCAAGAAGCTATCACTACAAAAAATTAAGGTTTTAAATACCAAATTTTAGGGACAAAATTATTTTTTAGGGACCAAATAATTTTGTTGTGAAAAGTGTCGTTATTATATTTTTAGCAACAAAAATTGGACATCAGTGATGAATTATCATCTTTTTTGGACCAAATTTTTTGTCCCAAAAAATAAACCATTTTGAGACCAAATTATTTTGGCTCTAAAAGTCTATTTATTAGTGACATTTTCAAAATTTTGTCGCTAAAATGCCTTGTTTTTGACTTTTTGGAATGACGTTTTAGCGACTATCCTCATGACGTTAGAAATTGGTTCTTAAATGTCTTTTACAACAAAATTTTTACTTTTAGAGACCAAAATATTTAGTCTCTAAAACTTTTATATGTTGTAGTGCATATTGGGCCTCCTATCTATCATGATTACAGTGACATTAGTGATTTTTACTACAGTAACATATGGGTGATTCTGTTTGCACTCAAATAATTTAAAAGTTTAGTTCCTATATTATACCCTAATGTAAATTTACTAATAAAGACAATCCACATTGAACTTTAAAATAATTATTTTTTTTTTCTTTTCATGACACACCCATAGGTGTTCTTCATATTCAACTTTCTTTATCTTCTTCCCAAAATTTCAATTATCTTCTCTTCATCTTTTTCTCCACTCCAAAACTCAAATTTACCCTACCAAAACTTTAAGATCAGTTTAATGGTTTTCCTTAAATTGATTATATTTTTTTATCTTCTTCATCTCTTTCGATTATATTTTTGCCTCTGTGCCTCTGTTTCACTTCTTTATTTTTGCATATTTCTAGGAAGTCCCTCTTTTCTCTATTTCATTTCTTTTCACCCAGCTCAAGAAATCCCCAGTACAAGAATAAATTGAAACATCAATGGCTACAAGTCATAACATAAAAGAAAATACAATAAATTACCTCTCCAGATAACTGAAAATGATCAATTAAAACAAGCATAAAAAGGGTTTTTAAAAGAGTTTTTCAAAGTGGTGAAATTTAGGGTTTGATTTATTTATTATTTGGGTATATCTTGAGGGGTAATTTTAGAAAAAAAAAAGGTGTACTGAGGGCAAATTATAATCCTAAATAATTTAATAGGGTGTATTGAGAAGTTGGGCATACTTAATAATTTTTTGAGTATAAATAGAATCCCCCCCGTAACATATGAACATATTCCCACCATCTAAAGCTAACATTAAAACAAAATAGCAACAAAGTTTTTTTTTTTTTTTTTGGTGAATTACATTAATGCTCCTCATAGTTTGGGATTTATACTATTTAGATCCTTAATCTTTTAATTGTAATCACTACAAAAAAAAACACTATTTTTAGTCGCCAAATTTGTCGCGTATAGGTGGTCGGCGGAGGTATTGGCGACTAAAATTTTTTTAGTCGCCAAAATAAAAGTCTTTAGCGACCAAAATTTTAGTCGCCAATAGTGTTTTACACTTTTGAAAATCATACATTTACCGACTAATAATTTAGTCGCCAATACTCACTCAATCGCCGACTACACTGTTTAGTCGCCAAAATAAAGACTTTTGGCGACCAATAATTTTAGTCGCCAAAGGTGTCGTCGAAAAAAAAAACCCACTTTTTGTTGCTTTTCCTAAGTTTCGAACCCCAACCGTCCCACATTCCGAACATTTTTGCAACACACTCCCTCCACTATGCCACTACAACATCATATGAATATATATGCAATGTATATTATTTATATAGTAACCGGTATTAATACAAAATAATATATATAAATATAATTTTTTTAATTCAATATAATTTATGTAAAAAATAAATTATTTACTTAAAAAAAATTTAGGCCACTTTTGGCGACTAAATTAAATTTTTAGTCGCCAATTCTATCATTTTTTACTACTAATTATTATTTAGTCGCTAAAAAATTAAGTCCCGCTTAGAAATAAGAGGTTTTGGCGACTAAACCTGTTTTTAGTCGCCAAAAACGTCCCCTTTTGGCTACTAAACTGAATTTTAGTCGGCAATGGACTGTTTTTAGCTACTATTTTTTTTGTAGCTGAAAAGCTTCATTTTCAGCGACTAAACTGTATTTAGTCGTCAAAATCATCACTTTTGGCTACTAAATCATTTTTAGTCGCCAAAAACCGTGACTTTTGGCTACTAAATCATTTTTAGTCGCTAAAACCCTACATTCGGCGACTAAACTGCCTTTTGGTCGCTAATACCCTCATATTTGGCAACTGAACTCTTTTAGTCGGCAAAAGTTATCAATTTTGGCGGCTAATTCCATTTTAGTCGCCAATTGTACTACTTTTAGCGACGAAAAATGTAATTTTAGTCGCCAAAAGTGCTTTTTGTTGTAGTGAATACATTTAATTATAAATTTTGAATCTCATTTCGAATAAGGACAGTTGAAAATATTTTTTACTTTGCAAACGGAAAATATTCCATTTTAAGGGCAAAATTGTCAATTGAATAAAATCTAAACTAGTTCGATAAAAATGAATGTCAAAAAATTATTTTTAAATTTTTAAAAATTATTTCTATCCTCCAAAAGGATAAAATTATATAAAAATGATAAATCACAACGCTCAAATAATACACATTAATGTGTGTTTGGGAGAAAAAAGATTGGGTACACACCTAACCTTTGGTATAGTGCACAAAGTGGTTGTTCCGAGATTTGAATCCATAACTTCAAGATTATTAGGCCAAGGTTTTATCATTGAACCAATACTCACCTCTATATATATAAACATGATAAATCTTTTATATTTTTATTTTTTTATCAAATTAATTTTTAGTATGTGTTTGGATGATGATCATATAATTAGTGATTGTTTTGTTGATATTTTTTAATGGTTATCATCTAATAGATAGTTGTTTTTGTTATTAATAAATATTTTTGGATGGTTATCACGTACTGGATGGTTATTAGAATTTTGATGTGTAATCGATATGTTTAATATATGAAATGTTTTTAGTTTTGAATTTTTTAGTTTACATAGTGATTTAATAAGATATCAAAGTTGTCTCCATGTTTGACATTTGAAAAAATAGAAATTAATTTAATAAAAATAAATATATATAAAAAATAATTTTAAAAAATTATTTCTACCCTCCCAAAAAATAATATTATATAAAGATGATGTATTTTTAATTTTTTTTTTAACAAATTTAATTTTTAACTTTTAATTTTTTAGAAAAAATTTCTGAAAATAGATTCTGAAAACAAAACAAAACAGAACTTTGTAACCAAAAAAATGTCAACATTATTCATTAAAAAAGATATCATTACATTTCAAATAATATATAAGTTAATCAATACAAAATAAGTTGGATGACAACTTTGCTCTTGAAATTGACCATTTGAAAGGAAATATTTTTTATTGTCATTATTTGGAACAAGATTCAAAATTTAGAGTTAAATTTATCATAATTGAAAAATCAAAAACCAAAGACGGTAAAGAAAATCATAATAAAAGATCATGATTGCTCGGAGTCCATACCCATACCAGAAAAAAAAGCTCATCTCAAATAAGAAATATGCATGTTTGAATTATTGATTTGGGTACGAATTTAAAACAAAAAAAAATAAACAGTGAGAGAAATAGAAATGAAATATCTAATTCTCTCAAATTTTTATTTATTTAAATTCTTTCCCAAACATACGATTCAAACGCAGCTTATGAAGTGGGGGAAAATCAGTGAAGAACTTGCCAGAGTATTGGGCTTTAAGTAAACGCCAGCGTAGAGCAGATCGCAGAGCTTGTGAGGGCAAGACATGTCAATTTCTATATTTGCATCTTTCAAAATGGATAAGAAACTAAGTGGAGGCCTTGTTCTTCCACCTTTTCTTGCTGCAATTTCCTTTTCCTTTCCTTTTTTCGTTTCCTTCGCTGATGAGTCTGTCTTATTACTACAGCTTTGTTCAACTTGTTTGATCTCTGAACTCCCATCAGATTCCATCCTAGCCACCATCAAAAAATTGAGAAAACTATAGTAAAACAAAAACAACAACAACAAAAGCTCAATCAAATCATACAAATGTTATTAATAAGAACAACAACATACAGTCTCATCTGGTTCATGATGTTTAGGATGGCATGGTGGATTTGCATCAAACGCACTCACAGTAGGATCCATAACTAAGTATTTGCCGCATCAATACATAGCTCAGGCGCCTAGAAAAATGGGTCAAGTTTGGCGTGCTGTCTAGCATTTTCTCAAATATTTTGCAACTGAAGTAAGTGGTCTAGCAGTTGATGGGTGGTGCTAATGCCCTCTGTCATTGATTTTTTTATTGTTAATAAAATAGTGATACAGGATCATTAATATTATCATTTAATTTTTTTTAGAATAAAGATTGGGACTCTTTCTCCCACCCCTTTTGACCCCTTTTCTTTTTTGATTAGTCACTTTTTCTTTTTTTTCTCCTCCAATCACCACCCACCACGTGTGTGTGGGGGTGGTGCGGGTTGAAGTTTGAGGGGGTCTAAATCACTGCTGTTTTTTTTATTATGTATAACTTTATTTATTATTTGATGGGATTGTTTAGGAGGCCCAACTCATGGCCCAGAAAAGCCCAATCCACCGTTGTGTTAAACTCCCCAAACAATCACATGGATAAAGCCTAACAACAGGCCCAATGAGGAGCAGGAGCAGCTGGTCCTGGTCCAGGCCTGGTAGCATTTGGGCACGTCAGGGAGGGGGTTAGCCGCATGACAGATAAAGACCCTGTAAAGTTATTGACATCACATATCAAGTATTAAATGCAATAAGACCTCTCGTTGCAGAAAGGGGGCGAGAAGGCCATGACCGACGGCAAGTAAGTGGAAAGCTTTCGGTCAATGAGACAATATGAATGAACAAAAAAATGATTAACTGTGGATATAAGGAAGCCAAGACAAAACACAATGGGATAACTCTCTCTTTCTCTCTCTCAACCTCCAACTTTCTTTAAGTTACTACCTTGATCACGTTTGTTCTAACGGGATTGTCGGACGGTTCACAACAAAGAATCACCCCCCATTTTGATACCTTCCCATTGGGCTTCTTGTATGTCAAGTAGAAGGAACCAAGGATCCTTTGCTCATGAAGCACTTAAATTAGTCCGATCCGTCCTCAACGGATCGAATTGCACTATGGTCATGTTTGTTTGGGTGGACATGAGTTTGGGATTGGACTAATAGTCCAATAAAATTATTAATCCGATATTTGATTAAACAATTAAATTACGGACTAATTATTTTAAACTTGACTATTAGTTAAGATAGGATACATAATCCAATGGATTCGTAATTTTAGGACTATTAGTCATGGGAATGCTAATCCAATCCGCCCAAACAAACATGGCCATCATTATTAGTTTGTATTATTCCGTTTATGATGTCATCGTGATCCTGAATTTGTATTCCTTGTCATCAGTTTGAAACTAGCCACCTCCAATTCGCTAATGATTCCCTGAGCTGACAACTTTGATTCCTTTGATTACTTTTTAAGAGTCAACTTTTTTATTCTCTTGGCATGCAAAATGTTAAATCTTTTCCTCGAAGGTCATTAGATTTTGGCTTTTTTCCTTGGAGGTCAGGTACTTGATTGGTCAAGCCACTCCTATGGATTAAGCCACTACTATTGAATCATTGAGGAACCACATGGGGAGCATCATAAAGTTATTTTACTGGATTCCCATTAAATTTTGGGTAATGATAAGACCAATAAAAGTAGTGTTTTAAAATAATTACTAATGATGTGATATTTATTTTTTATTTTTTTTTTAAAAATAAAAAAATAGATACAATAATATTGTGACAGTGGGTGAAATTTACTGTCACATCATTAGTGGTGACACTAATTAATGTTCTCACTAATTAGTGATTGGTTTAGAACACCACTTTTAGTGGTCTTTACCATTACCCAAAATTTTTTATTCCTTGGAAATCATGTTCGTTTAGGAGTCACGGGGAGCATTAAACTTAGGCAAATTACATATTAATGGCATGCATAAAGTTATTTGCAATTCAGTAGAGAATTTGAGATATTTGTGGGGGTCGTGGACGGTTACAAGTTTTATTATAATTTATTTTGTATAATTTTGTGTATCATTAATAAAAAAATTAAGTAAATTTAAATTGTAGTATTTTTATTTTAAAGATGTGTTTGGCATGTTTGATATTTTTGGCAAAAATAGTTAAAAAGTCGAAACATCCAATCACATCACTCTTTTTATTTTTTTATATATATTTTCGTAAAAAATTAAAAAGTCAATTAAAATAAGAGTAAACTACTAATAGGTTCTAATAGTTAGATTTAATTCCCACCAAATTCTATTAAAAATAAGTTCTAGCAAAATCGTTACAAAAATAATTTTTATGACAATTTTTTGTATATATCACTAAAAATTAATAATTAGTGACTTTTTTTTTGTCACGAATTTTATAAATTATCTTTAAAATTTACAATTAGTGACCCTTTTTCCATAATGAATTTTTCAAACTAAATATTAATTTATGCATGACTTTCAAGGAAGGAAAGAGAGAGAAGTAAGCGGGTAAGTATAAAGTAAGAGCTTATTTGGAAATTGATTGTTTATAGAGATTTGTGTGTGGATTTTAATAGATAGATTTATTATTGAATAGATTTTATAAGAATTAATGATATTTTTTATTAAATATTATTAAAAAATGTTATTAATTGTTAATTTAGATATTTTTTGAAACAGGCAACTAATTTGGATATTTTTTCTTAACCCATTTTCTATAACACATTCAAATCAAAAGGTGATGTACTTACTTCTATAATGCTAATAAAACATCATAAAAGACAAAGAAAAACAAATTCACAACTAGCTTTGTGGTCAAATATTTTCTAAATTTTTAAAAGATATTTGTTCTTGTGATTACTTATTCTTCAACTTCCCATGTCATAAAATTCTTTGAAAAGAACATTAAGATCATTGTATTGATTAGCTTTAATAAAAATCTTGGAAAATCTAGGGGTGTAAAATGGCTTGTGGGTCAACCGAAACCCGTCCGCGGCCTGAGTAGGCTCTGCCCGACCAAGCTTGCCTAGGCCCAAGCCCAACCTGAGACCCTGACCCGTGTGTTTTGGAGCTCAACCCATTGGCTCGCTCAAGACCCATTCAAAGTTTGGCTTGAGGCACGGTTTGCCAGAGACTTAGTGTCATTTTTTATAGAAAAGAATAAAATTTTAGTGAAAAAAATAATAAATAAATAAATAAATCAAGCCCGCCCGAGACCTGAATATCTCCTAGACCTGGACATAATTTTCTAGCTTGTGGGCTGACCTGGCCTGGCCTAAATTTTGGCGGAAGCCCGCGCGGCCCAATATGGACCGGCCCGAGCCCAAGTCTAAGTGGGTCAAGCCAGACCGAGCCGAGCCAAATTTACACTCCTATAGAATCAATCTTTTATCCAAATTTTTAAATGATTGATTGTTCTTTGGGTTACTTATTTTTCAACATAAGGTTCATTTGGGAAGTGTGCTGGCTTTTTGACTGTTTAATTTTTTTTGACTATTTTAGTCTGGGACTAAAAAATCTTATTTGGAAAGGACTTTTGATTTTTTTGATTTTTTTAATTTTTTTATGAGAGAAAAAATGTAATGATTATGAGTTAGATACGATATTTTGTTTTTTATGACTAAAAAATTTAAGGTCAATTTTTTTTTCACATTTTTTGAAGATGGATTGTTTTTTGAATTTTTCTATTCTTCAACTACCATCAAATTACTATTATTTGAAAAGAATGTCTAGGTCATTGAATTGATTAGCTCTAATAAAGACCTTGAAAAATTTGGGATCAAATCTTTCCCAAATTTTGAGAAGATAAGATTGATTGTTCTTTGAATTATTTATTCTTCAACTACCGTATCATTCTTTGAAAATAAAGTTGATTAATTTTAATAAAGTTTTTGAAATTTGTTTACCGTTATTTTAAATTATACTGTCCATGTCATTTTTTTTAATTGTCTTTACATAATAATACAGGATGATTTGACAATTTAATAAAATAGTGAAAAAAAAAAAATTTATTACTCCCTCCGTTCCAAAATATTGGTCCCTTTTGGGGAATCCAACTTTTTTTGGTAGTACACTTATTGAATTTGAAAAAAGTTAGTTTTCCAAAATTACCCTTTTGATAGTACATTTTTTGGGAATATCAATGTCATAATTGTACTTTTTAAATTGTTTATTAATTTAAAAGAATGGCAAAATAGGAAATTTACATTATTTTTGTACTTGATTTATAAAGAGGGACTAATATTTTGGGACAATGAAAAATGAAATAAGGGACTAATATTTTGGGACGGAGGGAGTAGAAAAAGCCAAGTCCTTCTCATTACTTTTTATATATTTTCCTGGGTTAATTACACTAATAATTTCTATAGTTTGGAACTTATGTCATTTTGATTCTTGACTTTTTAATTGTGATACATTTGATCATGAATTTTGAATCTTGTTCCAAATACGAACAATTAAAAATGTTATTAGATTTTTCAAGGCTAAAATCGTCAATTTGAAAAAATATAAATTAATTTGATAAAAATAAATGTCAAACAAATATTTTTGAATTTTTAAAAATTATTTCTACCAACTAAATATAAAATTATGTAAAATTGATAAATCTTTTAAACATTTTTTTTTTTACCAAATGAATTTTTATTATGTGTTTAGATGATGATCATGTAAAATTAATTTAAAAAAATTAATCATGTAATTTTTATTAATTTTTATCAATTTTACATAATTTTATCATTGGTGAATAAAAATAATTTTTAAAAAGTTAAAAATATTTTTTTGACATTTATTTTTGTCAAATTAGTTTATATTTTATTAAATTGATAGTTTTGCCCTTAAAATTAAACAATGGTATCTTCAATTGTTCTTATTTGGAACAAGATTCAAAATTTAGGATCAAATATGTCATAATTGAAAAGTCAATAACCAAAGCGACACAAACTCCAAACTATAAGAATTATTTATATAATTTGTCCTATTTTTTTTTTTTTAAAAGAAAATCAATAAAAAGGCCAATACCCAAACCACCAAAACACTTTTCAATTTTGTGCATGAACATTGCACAAAATTATCTACACAAATGAAGGCACATCATATTTGTTTCCTTATTACTTAAAAATCTTTTCCTCTTTCTTTTTTTATAAAGAATTTTGTACATTAAAAACTATAAACTATTAGAGTGTACTTGTCTTATTAAAAGACTTTGATTAGTGACTTTTGGTCAGGCTTTGCCCTTTA